TATATACATACTTACACATCTACACACATATTAACGAGATTACATATTACTAAATGATACTATGTTTACGGGTTTATTGCGTTTATTATGGTTTTAACTCGGGACTTCGGGACGTTTCGAACCGTTTACAGCGTTCATGGTCACAGGACAGACTAAAACCAAAAATAAACGCGATAATTCCGTAAACATAGTATCATTTAGTCCTGTAAAGTTATTAACTTAAAGACAAGTTGAACGCAATAAAAACTTTAAAATTGTCTTATTTACAATGTGTAGCAGTTTTCACTAAAATACAAAAAAAAACCTTATTTCATCGTAGCATGTTGTAGTTGTGAGAACTGTAAATAGATATTTAAATTTTCTCAGTAAGAATTTTTCATATAGATTACTAGAAAACGCAACGCCGAACCAACGCAAACATCTTTCAATGGTACTTTCGTTAATCCTTTTCCAATCTACGAGGTCATTTTATTTGTAATGAATAGATTTCAAGACACTCGCAGATTTCGATATTCGACAGGCTTGATGAATTACCTAAGTATGTTCAGCTTAAAATGTCTAGGCATTATACAGCAGAGATGAGCTGTTAAGCTGATAATGTTGACGACTGTATTCCTACTATCCCTATTCATTCAGCACCAACGTGGTCAGCCTACGCTAAGAGATAACACAAAGCAGACATCTTATCCCTCCACACCACCTTGTCTGAACTCAGAAACTATTCCATAGGTAAAAGCTACCGAGAGATCGCACGCACTGTCAAGTGGTTAGCGGCAGATATATCAATGATTGATATTTTCGCTTCTACTCCCACATAGGTACTATGTAACGGATTTTCGACCACAGGGCGCGTGATTATCGAAACTAATGTAATCCATACTAATATTATAAATGCGAAAGTAACTCTGTCTGTCTGTCTCGCTTTCACGCCAAAACTACTGAAGCGATTTAAATTAAATTTTGTACACAGATGGTCTAGAGCCAGGGAAACATTTTTAATTGGAATTTTTTTTAAAGAAAGATATTTATTTAAGGGCTTCAACGCGAGCGAAGCCGCGGGCGAAAAGGTAGTTGGCAAATAAAAGTCAGTGTATATAAGTAGACAGTCGTTTAGTTATGTGCCGTTTAATAAGGCTATAATAGCGCAAATCTGATGGATTCGATTCGCTTTCTAGTACTGACTTAAAAGTAAAGAATATGCCTATAGTTGTCAAAACCAAAGGCCTCTGTACAAAGGTTATTAGGGCATAGTCTACCACGCAACCTCACGGCGAATTGGCAGACTTCACATATCTTCGAAATATTTTAACGAAAATATGCGTGTTTTAGTTGAATTAAAAGCGAGCGTCCGGACGATGAGCTATCACGGCTCTAGATGACGTAGTTGCGGTCAATGGCTAGTCCAGTCACACTAAGCGATGTCCCAAGTCGTATCCTTTCATGCCAAAGCGACGCTTTCGCCCTAGTCGGGTAGGCGGGCGTCGGACGACTCGTAACGGGCGGAAGTGTCGCGAATTTTAATATACTCTATTGCGCCGGCAGAGACCGCGCGAATATTAATGGCGGCACGGAGGCCCGGCGGTTATGACATGTGTCGCGTGACGGTATCCCGGCTGACAACGATTGGCCTAACCAAGAGATAGGCAACCAAACTTACTAAACTTTCGGCATGTCACATTAGGGCTGTTGCACGTATCTGCAAGTCCCTCTGGAAGTGGAAGTTTCTATGTTTTCTTCAGTTTTTTTCATCTGATGTGTCCAACTTTGCTATGTCTATGGAACAGCCAACGTTTCCACCAGACGAGACTTTTGCCACGTTATTGCTGCGACTTGATAATAGACTCCAAAAGCGCTACCGGTTCCAAATCCTTGTAATCTCGCTTAAAATACTACTAATCCAGTTATTGGTAACAAAATTCCGAAAGCTTTTTCGCGTCCAGAACATTCAGATTGTATTTCGACGTAAAGGTTTTGCTGCGGATAAACAGGAAAATAATTACTGCACCCACTAAATTTGCTTCGAATGTGTCATATGTTTGTATGCTGTAAAGGATAATAGACAAGCATTGTTTTTTTCAAATGCGAAAAACGCAATGTAGATAAAAGGACATTAAGATTTTCGTCAATGGTGGTTAAAAGCGTCTCGGCGCGAATCCCGAGGAAGTGGGTTCGTTTCCCACAGCGGCGGGAGACTTTTACTTTTTTCTAAACATTTTAATATGTCATGTGTTATTAAAACTTGGTCACACTATTAACAACACACCAGACAAAGTGAAAAGCATTATGATCGCACCAAATCCCCATATGGTCACGGTAATAATTTTGTTGGTTTTAGTACATGCTTAAGAACAATTCAAACTCGTTTTTACTACATATACGTGGATATTTAAAACCGTTTTGATGACTCAACGGTTCAAGTTGGCGTGGCGTGTCGCGAGTTCGACCCAATACGGTTTTGAATAATTGTATGACCTTATGTTTGCGAATCGTTTGTGAAAACAATTGAGGCGATTTTTCTAATTATATCTTTTAGTTTAATTCCGATTCAGTTTCAGACGCCCATATACAGTACACGTATTATGAATCGATGCAGAAATAACTATGACAGAAATTAACAACGTAATGGACTCACGACCTTATAGTATTCTCACAAGAACATGACAAAAAGGCATACTTTCAAGGTATAGTTAGTAGATCGGGAGCAATTATTTCTCGCAAAAGAAAATACGAATCGTGTATTTTTTTCGTTTTGTCTAATTAAATTAATCAATTTTGAAGGAAATTACATATAGTTTTCGTAACTCCCAGCACTTGAAATACATTTTCGAATACGTTGATGTTTATTAAGGCGAACTTTCGTAAATTAAGCACATGTAGTCCTTAAAATAATAGTTGTATTAATATGGAATATATAAAATGCTTATGCGCCGTTAAAAATTCTACTCGAATGAGGTGAACGACACAACAGTGTGAAACGCAACAGAAGGTTCAATAATAATGACCTTGCAGCGAGGGTTATAGGCAGGTGGAGACAGGTGGTCGGCTGTGTAGACACCCTTTGTTTGACCACAAGGTCACTTTCACACAAGAACGTATTCGGTTAACATAGATAGAATGCATCAATTTGTTGGGAATATTGACAACCTTTGATCTATTGCTTGATTGTATCAGTCTTGAATTGGAAACTGCTTAGACGGAGTATTGAAGTGTCTTTTAATACAATGAGCTGAATGACAGCTTCGTAATGAAGACTTTCTATAATTGATTAGGACTAGTGACCTGAATTCTGACGATGGAAGCCCGTTGTACGAAACGTCATTAGCAAATTCTAATGCTCCAGATAGGGGCGGGCATTGGAGGCAATTAGTTATACATAGCCGTATTTTAATTAAAATAATTGGTAGAAACAGAATTACTTAAAATAGAACAAAATTTTTTTAAACTTAAAGATTTCAGGACAGTTTTATACCCAAAATAAGCGTAGCTTGTAACCATCGTCTAGTAACTGATAAAAACACTTATTTTGTAAATAAACACAAAGAGACACCAACAAATTATTTTTATCGCACAATATCTTTTCAGTAGTGGGGATCGAACAAAATCCCCCGGGGGCAGAAGACAGGACACCAAAAGCCAAACAGGAGTCATAGTTATTGCGAGCCAAACAACTGCTCAGAATTATTTATAAACGCAGAGGTCACTAGTCTATAGTAATTTTTCCCTATACTTACGCCCGGTTTCTAAAACAGTGATCATCGTAGATGTCAACTAATCAGCTGTCAAATGAAACACTTTGAGTTGATCATTATGATCTTAAAGAAGATCATTCTAGTCAATTTAGAGAGTTTAACCATCCTTTTGGTACCTAAAATGATATTTGAAATCCATTTAACAGCTGATTAGTTGACATATACGATGATCACTGTTTCAGAAACCGGACGTTATTGTCGTATATGACGGTATGTCAACTAGATTGCGTAGAATAAGTAAATATTTTATGGTGTACGTTTTTACAACAAACGTTCACATAAAACGTTCAAAGTGTAACAGTTGCTAAATTAAAAAAAATTGTTAAGGAACAATGTGTTATATTATTGAACGTTTGTGGAATATAAGTGATTGATAAAATTATAACACTGGAAACGAATTGATCACCTATGCTCTGGGCTCTTTTAAGTGGACTTTAATATGTTGCAAACATGTGTCTTTGTCAAATAATGGTAAAAAAAATTTTCACGGTTAGTTTCTTTCACCGGTTCTTCTCGGGTCAGTGACTTTTTCTTTACGAACCGGTATTAGTATTTCAACAGTCAATAAGTGAGTGTAATGCTTCTATATCGAATAAAGATATTTGAATTGAATTCGTGAACCAAATCATCGCGAAGCTTAAAATATATATTCATTATCACTCGACTAACACGTATCAAGTCCGCAATATTTGAAGGAACGTTTTCAATTTCTTTGCTCCTCTAATAACCTTCCCCTGCGTTCAAATGAAAAACCTCTTCCTTAAACATCCTATCCGCAATCCTCTAGTTTTTACCATAAATCCTCTGCTATTGCTGTTAAACTCTGGAACTCTTTACCTTTGGCTATTAAACGAACTCAAACCCTAGATTCTTTTAAAAAACAGTTTAAGGAGCATTATCTGTCTGTCTAGCTCTTCTCTATCTTTCGACGTCTCTCTCCATCCCTTTTCATTTCACTCTTAACTCTATGATCACTCACAAGAGGTATGTTTTTCTTATTTATTTAAGTTTGATTTGCTACTTTCTTTTTATTATTATTTTTTCTTCATGCACATCCTACCCATCAACAATTCCCTTTGGTAAATTTCTGAGGTTGTCTGGAAGAAATTGCTGAGTAGCATTAAGGTCGCCTTTGGATGACCAATATTTGATAAGTGTTTTGTTTTTTGTACTTTTTTATTTTTATCTTTTGGTGTACAATAAAGAATATTACTATTATTATAACACGAGTAAGGGCAAACAGACCCACTAATGGCGATTGTCCACAACCATACTGTACTCTCGACCGTCACCAGTCATCTTTTGTCATCGACGTCCGACCGGGTCAACGACCGGGCGTACAGTCGACAGAAACAAAAACAGCGCGCACACCCAAAAAAGCGCACAGACCGTCTCGAGGAGGTCGTCGATACAGATTCGATCCGGTTGGCGGGAGGCACTGCGGCGCTCGTGATAAGGCGGAGGACCGTTTGACGGACGATCAAAGACCATTTTGGAAAACTTTGAGAGCCGAATTAAGTGCGTTAATACTCTCCGTATCAGTTTAGAGTAGTGGATAGTGGACGGGTCTCTTGCGCCAGAGGGTGAGGATTCGATGCCCACTATTTCAAGAATATTGTGTGACGAAAATTGTTTTTTTTTTTCTAGTCTCTGGATGTTCATATATTTATATTATATTGTATTAACTGATGTCAACGCTTTCAGTCCCGATTCTATTAAAGCTTTATCGAACACAGAACCAGTGGGCTAGCCAGAACTCACAGGTTTGAGGTCCTCCTCAGTGGGTAGGGCCGCGCATGTACTCATGCGTGTGTTAACTAAGTTCAGTGCGGACCGTGACCCCGATGGCCGTTGATTGTGCTTGGTTAGCCGGTGGCTGGTGACGGTGAGAACCGCCCTGGAACGCGAGTGTACCTAGTGTACCATACGAGGACGAACCATGGTGTGTGCTGTTGCACTAACTGTGTGTGTAGTGTTGTCTGGCGTGTATATATCGATAATATCTCTGTACCAAAAAAGGGAACGGACACTTACGTCAGAACACTCTTAGAGAGCGATAGATAAACAAACGCGAGCACACCATATGGTCGCGCTAAACATAGCGACAATTCGCACACCCATAGAGGGCGCCCAATCGGTCGGCGAGATCCGCGAGATCCGGCGATCTCGACGAGAACGGTGAGATCGTCGGGCCGCATGTGTCGCGGCGGGGGTGACCTCATCTCGCTCGCGCGCCGAGTGACACACCGCCTGGACGAATTGGTTGCGCGGAGACCACGCGTCTAGGGAGACTAATGTCCGGTTTCTGAAACACTGATCATACTGAAGTTAACTAATCAGCTGTCGAATTGCTCTTCAAACGTTATTTGAGCAGCCAAAAGGATTGTTAAACTCTCTGAATTGATCAAATAATCTTCTTAATGATCAGAATAATTTCAGAGTGTTTAACAACCCTTTTGGTAACTCAAATAACATTTGAGCCATTTGATAGCTGATTTGTTGACTTCTACAATAATCAGTGTTTCAGAAACCGAGCGAAAGTGGGTGTGGATTTCTGATGGGTCCGGACCGGGAATCAAAACCACCCACCCACTTAACAACAGCCGAGGGATCGATTGAATAACATCGCAAGGCAAGCTGTAACGATATACAAAAGCATTATTTCGAGTACAAACACCGGTGCCATAAGCACCGATGAAGTTCAACGCCCTTCCGATTTTGAAAATCGAAGGGCCACATTTCAAACACTACTCCAAATAACAATAATATCGATATTTTATACAATCTGTAAAGGTATTGATAAAAACTGTTTTAGACAAGTTCAGCTAAGCGCCGAATGCGAAAAGAGAAGTATCTCATTAAATTCTATTGCGTTGTTGCCCTACACAACAACTCGTACTCCGATGGCGGATTTCCATGTGTTCATTTGTAAAAAAATTTAGTAATGAATCATAAACATATTGACTCGGGCTTCGACGCGAGAGGAAATTTACGAAGTAGGAGACATTGTAATCGAAATTGTCAACCTAATTGTAGTACGTAATTGGACAATGAACATCTTATCCACCTATATACACATAAACTTAAACAACCTTCCAAACGCGGACTACAGAACGCGACGGTCCGTATCAACTTGATACCGACGTGACAGCCAGATCCCACGTGCTTAATGCCTTTTTTTATGCGAGAAGGTGGCAAACGAGCTGGCGGTTCACCTGATGTTAAGTGATAACCGCCGCCCGTGGACACTTGCAATACCCATAGTGTTTCAGATGCGTTGCCACCTTTTAATAAGTTGGGGCCCGGCTACCTCGACGAAACGCAGAAGTATAACAGTTCCACTTCACAGCGGTCTTCTGCGAGGTCGTGGTCGCGGTACGTGGTTCTTTCCTTTACAGCAAACACACTTTCTCATTCGCTATTGAAATCTTTTTGTAATAGTGCACAATTAATAAAAAATAAAAATCCCTACGTTACGATGCACATGCATTTATTTTGCACTGGCAATTGAATAAATAATTAATATCGCGACACCGAGCTGTTAACTTTGTTTCAACAGTGACATAAGCTGTGTTGGTTGCGACTGATAAGTACGTACAGTTTCCGGAGTGGCGTGGCATTGGTCAATGTTTCGCACTGTGTATATTTATCCATACTAATATTATAAATGCGAAAGTAACTCTGTCTGTCTGTCTCGCTTTCACGCCAGAACTACTGAAGCGATTTAAATGAAATTTGGTACACAGATGGTCTAGAGCCTGAGAAAGGACATGGGCTATTTTATAACTGGATTTTTATTAAAGAAAGATATTAGAGGGCGAAAAGCTAGTCTCTTATATTTACGCGAACGTTGCTTCAATTTTCGAAACGTTGTAAGTTAGAATCGGTAACGTTGATCGAATGAAATGTCTGTAACACCACCTAAATCACCGGTTACCTCAATCAACGGGCGAATCGGAAGAGTACGAACACTTCACTCACTACTAAATCACGCTGTCTACTGTGAGGCGATGTGCTTCCCCGGTCGAGCTGACATCTTCGTGTGGGACGTGTTATGTAAGCTGCTAACATTCCATCGTCACAACAAAAGACCGTGTAGCATCGCCGTACGTAAAATACGAGGTATTCAACTGGTGGGTTCTTCGAACGCGATTCTGCGAAAAGATCGCAATGCGACAGGGCTGTCGCGATGTAGATATGCTCCGGAAAAAAGACAAAGCATCATTTATACTATAAATACTCCATTTATCTAAGCTTAAACAGCTATTATTGACTCGATAACTCGATCAGAATTTAGACTACAAGACAATAGGTAGACGATTTGCTGATACAAAGGAAGAGTTCGTAATGTTAACTTTCTCCTACGGCCAAATCTTTCCGTACAACCGCCGCTGGCCTAACGATCTTCACACTACAAAGTGAACAGTACTTAGTTCAACCGCAGAAACTTCAGCACGTTTGAGAAGACGCCGCCGTTTCCCAGACGAGTTGCATTCAGATAGCTTAATCATGGACTCCATCACAAGATTACATCATTAGTAAAAAGTACAAAGCACATCGTAGACGGAGCTCAGAGAGAGCGGAATAAAAATACCTGTTCGCCGATACAGTACGAATAGACTGTAATTTTTACCAGAGATGTTTATAGAATGTGTCTACAAAAGTGTATAGATGCATTGTTAGAGCTGTTTGTCAATATTGCAATTACCCAGATGCAAAATAACTATCTGCGGGTCACACAAATAGCTGTCCCGTGTGGGAATCGAACCCACGACCCCCGACGCCGAAGCCAATACCTTGGCATCGGCGTCACGGAGTCATCTAAATCTAGCCTTATCCGAGTGACGTGTAACGCGTACGCTTTATTGAAATTTAACCATTACGAAGTACTGACTCAGAACGATACCGGGAACCGCAAAGCCACGGGAAAATTACTGATCATTAAACGGGTTTATTTTAACCGATCGTTTCACTTGAACCGACACCGTAGCTAGGTCGAATCGCTACCAACAAGGAGGGCCTAAATAGAATTGACTATTCGAAATACAATCAAGATAAATTTAGATACATTTCGCTGAACAATGAAAGAGATCTCAGTTCCTCGTATAACCTAAAGATTCTCCTCTTCATGGGTGATTCCTTCACTGTTCATGCTGCACCGCTTTGGATCCTAGCCTGAAAACATTAATAGGGCCATTGACAGGAACTCATTCAAACGCTTTTCCTACCAAGGTTTACCGCCACGGGTTGACTGGGCTAGATTGCCAAAAGTTCTCCCTTTTGTATACGTGAAACCATCATACAAAGGTATTACCGACAAATACTAATAATATATTATTATATGTGAGAGAATAGAGGACGAAAGTCATGTTGGTAACACGCATTAGTCATTCTATGTGGTATGAATGGAGCACCACAAAGCATTTCATGGTCTTTTAGGCTATAAAGAAGTATAAGCGATAGTGCTGCCCAATCGGTATCAAATTAAATCGTTACAGTCGTGATTCTTTAGTACAAAAGTGAAAATAAATATAAATAACAGTTTTATTTTTTTACAAAGTAAAATTGCGGTGATTTGATAAAACTTTTCATTTTTCTACCTTATTAGCTCGATAAAACGCAACGTCGCATCTTTTTTTTTAAGTATGTAGCATTACGAATTATTTGCAATTTAAGAAAATATGTTCGAGCAAAATAATTCGACATCACGGCGAACCTTGTCAGGCGAAAAGGCTTGTGTTTAATAATAGTTCTAGACCTAAAGAAGACGCAGGCTTTGGCTTCATTGGCATTCGGAGAGCGCGCGAGCTTTTCGACCCGTACAAGTTTCGATGACTCAACCGAATTTGCATCCAAAGTTTTTGTAGCACGCGCCCAGCCGTGTGACGAACTGGTCCGTTCGAGTCTAACGTATTTTTCCGTGAGAACAGAATCGAGTTCTGGACTGCCGGCTTGAGCAGGTCGAACACTAAGAGGGCTCCCATACAAGAGACATGAATTTTTTGCAGTTTTTATAGATAACTAGCGACCCGCACCGGCTTCACACAGGTACAATGTATTATACATATAAAACTTCCTCTTGAATCACTCTATCTTGTAAAAAAACCGTTGCGTAGTTTTAAAGATCTAAGCATACATAGAGACAGACAGACAGCGGGACGACTTTGTTTTATACTATGTAATGATGGTACTGAACGCTTCAAGAGTCCGGCTCGCACTTCGCCGGTTTTCTTTTATTTTTAAAGTAAAGGACGAAGCAAACTCGGATCCTCCTTACCTTTCGTGCCAGTATCGCTTTCATTTTAATGTTATTGAAAATATTACTTACTCGAGTGCGTAATCGAATGCTCGTGAGTCGTAAATAAGAATCATTACTTGCGATAACGGAATACAGCGTCACGTTGGCGATAAATTTATGCAAAATATTAACGGGAGAACAACGATCGATAAATAGATGTAATTTACACTTG